TCCAACGCTTCTCTGCCCATTCACTTTGAATGGGGTGACGTCACTTTGCCTCGCTTTCTGCCGAACTGCATTGTGGGGAAGCAAAGTGAAGATTTCCAGGATTTTCAGGATTCAAAAGTTGAGCCAATGTTCAACTTTTTCGAAGCTGAGGTGGAAGCGTCAGCCAATCAAATCCCGTTCATGCAAATCTGACAGTACAAGCGCTAGCCAATCAAACCGCGTGTAAGCTGGGAGAGTTCATTTCCTCATATTCCAAACGAGAAATTACGGTAGCAAATCACCCGGTTCTTTACGACCAGACTATTTACCGGGATACAAACCGGAGGAACCAGGCATGGAGGGATGTGGTAGAGACAGTGGGTGAAACTGGTAGGTTTTTGCCTGTTTGGGGATTTGATATCCAGTTTACTTCGTTTTAACATTGCTATTGCTTTGTATGTTGGGGCGGGAGATTCATGTGATTGGTTGTTGGTCGCGTCGCTCGCAAAAAATCCCCAAGCTTTCAGACACACCCACCTCCAAGATTTTTTGAAAGCTGCTGTGTGGACGGGCCGTAACGGCTTTTGAACTTTGAAAAAATCTTGAAAATCTTGGAGGTGGGCGTGTCTGAAAGATTGGCAAAGTGATGTCACCCCATTCAAAGTGAATGGGCAGAGAACCGTTGGAGGCGTTGGAAGATTTTTTTAACGCTCCTGTGTAGACGGTAAGAGAGACTAGTGAGAGCATGTGAGGAGGGATGCTAGTACTTACGTGTGTACGATGTCTCAACGACTAACAAAGTCAGGCTTTCAAGAAAGAAAAGAAAGGAGAGTAAGACAAGAGAGAGGGACTAAAGGGCGACAAGTTTCAACCCCAGTTTTTTCAAAAAGATAAGGTTGGGGTGGTCATGAGTGGTGGAAATTAGTCCTGTTAGCTAAGCCGTATCCTTGTAAATAAATTGTATGTTTGCTGACATTAACGGGGGTGGGTAAGTTTGAGACCGGCTCGGATTACACTTTGGTTTTATATTGCATGGAATTGCTCCTTAACTCTCGATAGCAATGAAAATCTTAGTGCTTTGCGAAAATCCATAAAAAGTCATCTGTGGAAGCCTAGTGCGAAAGCACGACCAATCTTTTCGCGGCCCGGCTAAAATACTTGATGGCTACCTGCCCTGGTGCCTTCCGTTTAAATTCTAGGCTATTTCGAGCTGGTTTTCCAAAATACCTACCCCACTTTAGTACTGTTAAATCTCACAGAAAATTCAGAGGTTTTAATTCACTCTTTTAGCTGACATTTAGGTCAGTTTTAGCAGCTATTCCTACTAAATCGTGTCCTCCCTGGTGCCAGGACCAACAGTCCATCTTTAGGCTCCGCGGCCTGTCCCATAAGCTTTGCGTCTGCCATGTGTCCTGAAAAGCCAGTTTGGCTAGGAAGGGCTCTGATAACTTTAAGGGCAGGCTATGGTAGCGATACTGGATCACACAGAGATGCTGATGAGAAAAGACTGAGAACAGGTAATGCTTCTGATTTAGCACACATCAGGCCCTTTCATTTCCATTTCCGTTGTTGTCCGCTACACTTTAATAGCCGCTTATTTTGTAGTTGTATGGATATTTAATAAAAAAATTGCTGCTTATTTTTTTTGTATAGCATTTATAAATGAAATAGTGGTGTTAATGTTCATTTATTTTAATTTAAGAGGTCATGTTATTTACGTTATATTTATTTATGATTTGAATGTTCCATTCAAATGTTTATTTAAAGTGACAATTGAGGTCCTATTGTCAGGAATTTTGTGCTAGATTTCGCCGTCTGGACAGTTTTGTTTATATTTCACGCTTAGTTGTATATGTGAGTTAGTATTGCTACAAGAAGATGCAAAGCTGTAAGGTAGTTATTAAGCATATGAGTCGGTTGGGTTCGGAGGTGGTGGTTACAGCAATTGTGCTTGGTTGCGTGGCCTGGGTCTGTGGGTGGGGCCAAGTGTATATTTCATGGGCCAAAATCTGGCGCATTCGGTAAGGCCCGCATGGCCCGGCTACGCTATAGAGTGGAGCCCTCCCTTCCGGGGGCTACATGGGACTTATTCGGAAATGTGTATTGAGTCAATGGGAGAGAAGTTTACTTTCGATCCCGTTCGATTGGCCACGAAATACACTATGAAGTTTGTCAATTAAGATAATTTTGCAAGTAAAAAGAAAAGTCGTAAACTGTGAGTAACCATTTTTTTTTGTGTACGCTTAATGAACTACACTCAGGCCTCCTTTAAAAGGGATATACGTCAAAATTGCGTAATGCAAGTTTCTACGCAAGTTTGCGATTTATCATACTACTTGACGGGAAAACGTGCGGTCCTCCCTAACTCTACCCGGCGTACGCACTAAAGCCAAACAGCGACGGGAAAGACACAGAACTGCCGACACCGTTGCCCAGAGTGAGAATGGCGAGAATTGTGGAAATATACCATAATAAAATGTTACCTCCTCTTATCATATAAGAAGAATTATTTTTCACATGATAAGAGCAATCTAAATGATTAAACAACGCCTGTTTGCACTCCTCCATGGCCACACAAACAACTTGGAGAATAATAGAAAGGATAATTGTTATTTAAACCACCTCGTATGTTTGTTAATGTATGAATGTTTTCTCTAATGAATGCGTAAGTAGGGGAAGATTAGTCTAAACGACCGCCGTTTTGCATAGGCCTTTATACGACATTGGTTTATATACGATCGTTGTTTATCATGTTTATGCCGTTTCTAGACTTGAAATCGCTCATAAACAAGAGTATGGACCTAGACCACATAGTGTAAATTGTACACTATATAACCAACNTTTTAACATTAAAGCATGGAGACATGTCACAGTAGGGCTGCTCAATTAATCGTATTTTAATCGCGATTACGATTATGGCTTGCAACGATTACGAAAACAACGTATTGTTTTCGTAATCGTTGCAAGCCATAATCGTAATCGCGATTAAAATACGATTAATTGAGCAGCCCTACTGTGACATGTCTCCATGCTTTAATGTTAAAAAAAAGGTCTTAATTCTGTTGTGATTGGTCAACCGCTTAGAGATGTCCCGCCCCTTAGCCTATCACGTACAATGTGTTGGAGCACTAGCCAGTAGAAGCATAAGTGTTACATAGTGATGTCACTATGTTGTAGAATCAAACAAAGGAGTCCAACGGAGGCGTTTCAAGCAGCGGGAGAAATGGAGGGAATTAAGGGATTTTTGCACTTGAAAAACTATTACATGCTCAAAAACCTTTAGAACACACCAAAGGAAAGGGGAACACCCCCAAAAGCCTGTTTGATTTAAAAGTGCAACATCTATTGCACATCTGTCCTGGGGGAGGGTTCCTCCTCTGTTGCTCCGCCCGAGGTTATAAATATTTCTCCATGTTAACTGTGGAGTTCCTTTGGGAGTTTTTCCTGCGAGGGTCTAAACACAGGGCTTTCCGGCAGAAAACATTCCTAAAAAAAACGTCAGAACTATAAGGAAAGCGCTATCTAATGTTGAACAGTATTTGGACAGTTTAGAAGTGTTGCTGAGTGAGAAAGCGCTCCCAATATAAACATGAATAAATACAGATAGTGATGCAATGTGGGCTGGATGAAGAAGGAACCTAAACATCAGAGGTTCATTTTAAAGTTGATGCTAAATAGAAAGAAACTGGTCGTGAATATTTATTGGATCCACACATTTTAGGACAGTCCTAAAATGCTATCATACTGTAAGGAGCCCTTACTTTAAATGTATATCTGTAAGATGCATTTATGTCGACATATCGTTATAGGATGGATGTTTGTAACTCATATATCTTTATATTGACGAGCTCAAATCCAATATAGTTTAAACTCTTATGCTCATACAATAGTTTAAAAACATTCTCATGGACTTGGATTGAATTTTTATTCTCAGCTTGACAAATAAGTGGATGTAATATCCTAGTTTTGTGATGCTAATCTTGGATCATAAAGGGGACCTATGCACTTTTTGATGTCTTTTATACATAAATATGTGTCCCCGGTAGGGCTGCACGATATGTCGTGGCGATAAATGCGATATGCGCGATATTCACATAGCAGGAAGTGACGATTAAAAAAAAAAAAAAGGACTTGCGATATTAAGTAGGCAAATTAACTCAAACACGTCATGTTACAATTATGTTGCTGCTTGCTACAAAAGGAAAACCTGCGCGGCTCTCATGTCAGGGGTATTTGAGTGAGTGACAGCAAACCAGCAATCACAATCAAATCTCCAAAACAAACGGACCCGGTGATTAAAGATAAAAACACAGAATACAGTAGTTTCATGTGTTTCTCCAGGGCAGTTCGGCGCCGCTAACCGAGCCTAGCTCAGCTTGTTGCTCTGATAACTTCAGATCCATCCGGTTAAATATAGTTAAAAAAATACCAATTGTATAGCATTAAAGTTTAAGAAAGGATGTTTTGCAGGGAAAAAAACTGTCTTTTCTTCAATTCCTGTATGTTTTCATATCGCAATATACACTGAACAAAAATATAAACGCAACACTTTGGTTTTTGCTCCCATTTTTCATGAGAGGAACTCAAAGATCTAAAACATTTTCTATATAGGGGTAATGTTGTGAATCGAGTGGCCTGTGTTCATCGTCCATAACATACGCTTGCCCATACCATAACCCCACCACCACCATGGGCCACTCGATTCACAACATTACCCTAACCCTAATCCCAACCCTAACCCTCACACCAGATACTGACTGGTTTTCGGACCCCCCCAGACCCCCCCAATAAAGCAAAAATGCACGTTT